ATATTAAATAATAAATAACTCTTTTTCTATTACAGACTAATTAGGACTCTAACTATTCTAACTATACACAGCTACAATCTTCACCTTCAACCAATTGAGCTCATAATGTCTATGAGACCATAGTCTTTGACAAACCAGAATAAGTTCATTGTCAAATGCATGGTGACTTTATCATCACAACTAGCTAGTGGTTGTAGGACTGGCTTCATCTTTCTAGGCCAAGTATTCACTGACTTGTAGCTCAAATCAGATCTGACATGATTAACTTTGAAGTTAACTGTTACAGCAATGAGTGCTAGTCTCACTATGGTATGATTTTGAACCATCTAGAAATGTGTTTTGTATGGCAGTTTTTGTCTCCAATTGAATGAATGCAACAGTCTACCTTATACAAATGCTTTTTTAACAATAGATAGGGATGGATAGGAGGAGGACTGACGGGGGCGGCCGCCTCATAAATTCTTGATTCCGTCCCGATAAGAAACCTGATACTAGTGTATTTATTGTATGTCCTCTACAGAGATGCTGATTAGCCAGTTTACTTGAAAGTTAGGCAAGATTCAACTAACTTGAGAACTCTGTCAATCTTCTCTCAAACTCTACCACAAATCATTGGTTTAAACCCTGCAAATCTTCATCCTAACCACAGAACATAATTGATTAACTTATAATCCAAGGGGAAATGCCTTACTCCTACAGTCCTACTGGAATTGAAGAACATCATTCCCTCTTCTTTTTTACGTGGTATGTAGATTTGATCAAGCTTTTCTGTTTGCAAGTCAGTGTGAATACTCAGACTTTAACTTCTGACATGGAAATTAAAGAAGTGTATTTGACTACCGGATATGCAAGTTCCATATATATACATGATTCGAACAAATAAGAGAATCTGTTGCTTAAATCTTTAAAAGGACATGCATCTTGATTTAAACCAGCCAGGCCCAGCAGTTTAATGCTCAATAGTTGGTTGAGAATGTTTGTTCTTGATGTTGATTGAATGATTCGGTTTATGCTGCCTCGTATTTGCGGACAACACGAAGAGGAAGGTCTTTGTCCATGTTATTGCGGTTAAAAGTTGTGGGTAAGATTGAGCTTGGAAACCTGCCAACCTCCATTTTTGTTCCGGGGTTGGTGTTTTCTATAGTAGTTAGAAGTGATTCGAGTCAAAAAAAAATTAATTATTCTAATTGACGAGTTATATTTTATAATCAAATTTGTTTTGAAATTTTTTTCAATCGAGTTGTTCGAGTTTCTGTTTAAATTTAATTGTAAATATTTATAATATTATGATACCATTTGATTCCAATTTAAATGGATTTCAATAACTATATACAATGAATATATTTTTCTTATTTTTTTCCAGATGTGATATATATGTATCATGCAAAATTGGAGGATTTAAACCTGAAAACTAGTTCACTAATTATTAAAAATTTAAGTTATTCGAGTTACTATTCGAGTTAAGTTTTTAAAACTACAACTTAAAATCAAATGAGTCGAAACTTTTTGAATTGAGTAAAAAAATAATTTTTCGAATCTAATTGAGTTTTGTTAACCCCTACTACTAATAGTTTTCAAGAATCGAATACTATTATTGTAGTTTACTAGTTAAAGTTTTTTGGATACACGGTTTTTTCATGTTTGTTCTAGGGGTAAACTACAAGTTTAGTACCCCAATTATCATTTTATTTTATTATGGTTATTCAACTATTTTTTGTTTTAAAATCATACTTAATATTACTTTTTGATTTCATTTTTGTCACCCGTTAAAAATTAACGATGATGTTGATGTGTCATCATAAGGTAATTTCACATCATTATTGAATTTTAAAAAAATTGACACGCTAGTAGTTTTGTTAATTTTTTAACAACAAATGACTAAAATGAAACCAACGTAATATTAAGTATGATTTTTAAAAATAATAGTTATATGATAAAAGCAAAACAAAAGTGATATTGAAGTACTAATTATGTAGTTTAACCTTATTTCTACAGTCCAATTTTTTTATTCGGACATTGACTTGTTCAAACCTTATGTTACGTCAGAGGTAGCCAAGTTTAAGTTTTAAAAATATTTTTATATTAATATTAATATATTTTATAATATATTTTTAATTTTTATTACTTATAAATATTATAAAATTAATTTAATTTAATGTCATCCTTTAAATATAATATTAAATGGTGAAATTTGCATTGATAAATTTTAAATAATAACGATAAAATGTTTTTCAAAATAATAAATTCAATTATGATGCCTAATATGTATTCTTTAAATGAATTACAATTTTTATTTGGCTTAACCGTATCTCTGGTTTTAATTTTTTTTCAAAAAAGTTAATAAACGAACTATTTTTTATTGAATGTGACACTAAAACTTAAGAAAATTTCTATAAGGTTCATTGACTAACGTTTTTCGTCATTAACCATAAGAATACTAATATGATAATTTATGGTGTTGATATAACGATTCATGATGACCAGTGACGTGAAAGATGATATGAAATAATTTTTTTGATCAAGTTTCAAGGCCAACTTGGTAAAAAAATACATTAAAATTACTTTTTTTAATTGAAGGTTAATTCAAATTTCATATTTTTCAAATGTTATATGTATATCATGTAGAATTGGGAGATTCAACTCAAACATGAAAATAAATCCATAAATTACTAAAAAATTAAGTTATTTAAGCTATTATTCGAGTTAAGTTTAAAAATTACAACTTAAAATCAATTGGAATCAAATTTTTAAATATCAAATAAAAAAAATTTTTAAATAGAATCGAGTTTTCAAGTTTTCAAGAATCCTACTACTATTCTTGCAGTTTACTAGTTAAAGTCCTTTTTTATACAATTAAGGTTTTTTCATGTTTGTATCTAGGGTAAACTACAAGTTTAGTGCCTCAGTTATCGTTTTTATTTTATTTTTGATCATTTAATTATTTTTTATTTTAAAATCATATTTGATATTACGTTTTGATTTCATTTTAGTGTTAAAAATAATGGTGATATTGATGTATCATTATAAGGTAATACCACGTCATTATTGATTTTTTTTATATATAAAAATGATATGTTGGTAGTTTTGTTAATTTTTTAATGACAAGTGACCAAAATGAAACAAAAACGTAATATTAAGTATGATTTTGGAAAAAATAATAGTTGTATAATAAAATTAAAACAAAAGTGATAGATGAAGTACTAATTGTAGTTTAACCTTATTTCAACAATCCAACTTTTTTATCGGACATTGACTTGAACAAACCATATGTTACGTCAGAGAGCAGCCAAGTTTAAGGTGGCGTTTGGTTGGATGAAATCCCTTGGAATTGGGGGAATTGGAATCCAATTCACCACTTTTTCATGTTTGGTTCAAGTTTTCCAAGGGAATTAGAATCCCTCATGGCTTCAACTTTCCATTAAATGAGGGAAAGTGAATTCAATCCAAGAATGGATGGAATTCAATTCCCTTGTTGGAGGGAATTGAAATTTGACCATACTACCCTCATCAATCTTTTGGTAATTTATTCCTATATTGAATAAAAATATTTTTTTTATTATTTCGGGTCGGGTTTCTAATTCATATATTCGGGTCGGGTCGGGTGAAACTTTATTTTAGTCGGGTCGGGTTGGTTTTTTTAAGTGTGATATTCGGGTCGGGTCGAGTTCGGGTTTAGGGTGAAAAATACCAGACCCGAAAATATATATAATTTTACCTTATATATTTAGGAATAATTACAATAATACCCCTATATATATATATATTTTCAATTAAGTCACTATTTTTATTGAATAAAAATAATTTTTTTATTATTAAGGGTCGGGTCGGATTTCTAATTCATATATTCGAGTCGAGTTTTTTTAAGTGTGATATTCAGGTCAGGTTCGGGTTTAGGGTGAAAAAAACGGGACCGACCCAAAAAAATATATAATTTTACCTTATATATTTAGGAATAATTACAATAATACCCCTCTATATATAATTTTTTTAAATTAAGTAAATGTTTTTATTGAATAAAAATATTTTTTATTATTTTGTGTCGTGTCGGGTCGGGTTTCTAATTCATATATTGAATAAAAATAGTTTTTGGTATATTTTTTGGTAACTAATTAACATACTCCAATTGGAATGTATCGAAATATTGCTCTATCTTTTGGTAACTTATTAACATATTTTGATTCCGATGATTTTAACTTATGATGTTTATTAGCATGATTTTTATAATTTATTGAAATGAATAATTAATCAATAAAATGAAATTTTAATATTTTTTATTTTTTATAATATATTACTATATGTAAATTGTAAAACAAACTCAAATAAAGCAAAAAAATAAGAAGCCAATTCTGTCATTTTATATTACTGAAATCAAATTCATCTGACATGTCTGCGAACTAAACAAAAATGGAATTGGATTCCAATTCTATTTCCTGCCAACCAAACAGAATATGGAATTAGATTCCAATTCCTGACAGATTCAATTCCTTCACAGATTCCAATTCCCTCATAAACATTCCAGCGAACCAAACGCCACTTAAGTATTAAAAATATTTTTATATTAATATTAATATATTTTTATAATATATTTTTATTTTTATCACTTTTAAATATTATAAAACAATTAATTTAAATATAATATCATCTTTAAATAAATATTAAGTGGAGAAATTTGCATTGATAAATTATAAATAATAATGATAAAATATTTTTTAAATAATAAATTCGATTATGATGTTTAATGTGTATTTTTTAAATTGTATTACTTTTAAATATTATAAAACAATTAATTTAAATATAATATCATCTTAGCTATGCTTTTGCTCCTCGAATTAACCTACCTGTATATGTGTTTTGAAGGCTTTGTTTCAGTTATGTATTTGTGTTTGTTGCTGGTCATCATCCATGACTTATTTCTTTGCTGCATTGCTATTTCCCATCATGTTATCAGAATTATATTTAACTTTTGAAACATTTGAATACCGAAAACTGTTTCTGGTAGTTAATTTGGCAGGTTATGTACTCATTCCTAGATCGGCTCATTAACTTGGGGCTTCCTAGGACTAGGGATTTCCAAGGTTTAAACCCTAATAGATTTTATGGACATGGAAACTACAGTATTGGAATTCGTGAACAGAGTGTGTTCCCTGAGATCAGGTTTGATGCACTTGATAAACCCAGAGGAATGGACATTTGCATCGCTACAACGGCCAAGTCTGATAAGGAAGGCCTGAAGCTATTGGTCCTAATGGGTATGCCTTTTAGAGAAGGTGGTGGTGGTGCTGCTGTGCAGCCCAACAACGCAAGAAGAAGCTCAAGTCTCACCACTTTGATAAGAAGGGTGGCAAGGGTGCACGGAAATGAGAGCTTTCTCCTGCTAAAGGGCAAAAGGAACTTTGAACCATTTTGTTTTTAATTTCATGGCATCATTTTATGAAGAAATTCCATAAAGATTGATGTTAAATTCAGGCAATTTGGTTGTATTACATTATTGCATAGGTAGTTCCAGACGGGGATTTGATTCTGTGGTCTTAACCTCTTAATGCAATGTAAAAGGGTTTATTCTAAAATTTTAGCCTTGTCTCTTGTGTTCATATTATTTCATTTTTAAATCTTCATGACCTAAGCCGAAATAAAGAGACCAAGAGCCCAAGCGCTGGATCCATTGCTTAACGCTATTGATTCTGATTTTTCATTTTCTGGAATTTAGACAATTTATTTGTGTGGTCATAGTTCATTGAGGACAAAGATATTTAAAAGAAACTGTGGGAGGACCAATGGCGCTCTTTCAGCTCTAAAATGGCGGTCAGTCTTTTCTTTGCTTCCTCCTTTCCCGCGTCAACTTACCGCGTCAGTTCATCGTTTTCCAGCGAAACGAAAGCCGCAACATTTATAGAATTAGATGCAGCGGAGAAAATTCCAAGAGCAATTTACCCACCACACATGAATCTGCAAGAGAGAATGTTCTTCTCAAGGTAGCCTGGTATGGTTCCGAGCTTCTGGGGGTTGCCGATTCTTATCTCCGACCGCCCTCTAAGGTTGAAGAAGCTGCCCAGAAAAATCTTGAGCTTGGCCTAGATGGACCAGGAGCTATTGATCGTACTGCAGTCGTTCAAACCATCAAAGATGACTTCGAAATGTTTTATTTTGTCACTGGTACATGAAAATCAAAGCTCAGTAAATCCGCTCGAAATCTTTCTTCTGCTCTCTCTCTTTTTTATTTACCCGAACATAGAAGTTGGTCTACAATTTGATGTTCTTTTCTTCATCAATTATCCAGAAAGGAGGGAAGTTACAACACCTTTTCTGTTGAAATCAGGGCAACTTACACTCGATGCATTCGAAGAGAATCCTTCAAAGGGCTTAGACGTTTCAAAAGGAATTGCACAAACTTTGGATCTCTTATTGAAAAGTCAAATATGAAACTAATGAAGTGGGAGGACTTTGAGGTCAGTGTGCTATAGCTTGCTTCATTACTTTTTATCATCTTCAATGCGATATAACAATGAACAACTTTTCTTTATGTTGTCTTACATGGAAGTGCAGGACAAAGGAGTGGGACACTGGAAATTTAGTTGCGTAATGTCATTTCCTTGGAGGCTTATTCTTTCTGGTATTTAATTGGTACTTTCGGTCTTTTTTATTTTCCCAACATCAGCTTACATCTTTGTAAAAGGTCAATGACCATGAAGGCATTGCATCAATATGAATCCACGAGTGTGCTTAACGTCTCGATATTTTGCAGCTACTGGATACACAGAGTATTTTTTTGATGAACAATATGGAAAAGTTTGCAGGTAAACAGGTAAGGAGGAGAAATGGGAAGCTCTTCTGTTTCTGTTCTCTGGTTACCTTACTATAACTATCTTTTCTTTATGGAATCTTCCCAAAATGGCGTTGTTGAAGCAACTTTTGAGACCGACTCGAGCATTCTGGCTTAAGGAAAAAACAGCTAAAGATTGTGTAAGAAAACCTCTTAGCTTACCCTCCTTACAGATCGAAACACTAGGTTATCACCATAATCAAGCCAGTTTGCCTCGTTTCTATGTACAAGGAAAAGGAAGTTAGGATTGTTAGCTAGTATCGTTATGCATGTTTGTTGTAGCTGATGTGATCATGTAAGTTACCCATAAGCAAGCCTGAGGCTAAACCATAATGAAGAAACTGATTCTTCTCTTGGAACAGTTGTGACTGAATTTCTTCCTATAGCAGGCACATTCATGTATGTATACGTGTGTGTATATACAAATGATACTATATGTGCTCCCATACATGGAAGCTGTTTACGTACGCGCTTCTCTTCTTTATTCTTTTCACCACTGTCTATCGCCGTAACTTTACTCAGATGCAGACTATTGAATTAGAGTTTTCATGCCTTCATTTTTCTCAGGAAGAATACATGTCGATGATGAATACAGATCCTTGGGGTAGTCTGCTTATCGCACCATTCACATCCTCCCGTTGTCAAAAGATCGGCCTCGAGCAACCGATGAAAAATAACAGGAAGGGGAAGACTGATATGAAAGACAAACGTCTCATCTAAACTGGGTTGGAATTAGTATATTTCATTTCTTGATCGGTATCGAGTCAAATTGCATCATGTATCATGTTTCACTACTTCAGGAACTAATGATGCAGATTTAATGTTTCCAGAGTAAGATGGAATGTTGTACAAATAGCCTTATCCCAAAACTAAAGTAGACAAATCATGTTGTGACTATCCAACATAATGTAATGTATGTTTGCTGGTCTACTCAGTCCTTATGATAGTAATGAAACTCGAATTTGACAGGTTTCGATCCGACATAATTTCATTAGGTTAGATTTTTTTTTAAAATCCATGTCTAGGTTGAATTGTGTTTTTTTGAAGGATAAATTCGAGAAGTTTGACTTTTGGTAAAAATACTTTATGTTTAGAGATATTTATAATAATAACTCATTCTATATTATGTTTTCAATTTGATTTCTATTTTCACATAAAATTAAATTCTTTTTTACAAAATATATTTATCTTGGATTGAGTTGGGTCAAGTTTGAGTTTTATCTCAAATGGTGGGTCGGATCCTAAATCTGATTCAAGTCAGATTTCAAGTAAAAAGTGTATATTTTTCGAGTTGATAGATGCCTATCCCTGTCTACACTTCATGTAAAACTTTTAGTTTCACAAATTTTAAATATAATTGAATAAATGAAAATAGACAAGTAAGATTATCTTATTATTTTTCATAAGTACCTATTTATTTTGTACTGTTAATCTCAATCGTCTATTTTTACTCTTTTAATGATTTTAAAAAATATAAAACTAAGACGTTTATATGGTGTAAAGTAAAAGGATTTTATCTTATATATATATATATATATATACTTGTAAAAAAATTCAATTTTAGCCATATTTTCACTCATCAAACGATTTTAAATTTATGTAAAACTAAAAAGTTTTATATTGTGAAAGTGAATCCAAACTTATATATATATAACACGTTCAATAAAACATATGTTTTATAAGACATATTTTTATTATATCATATGTGACACATGCTAAAATATTCAAGGTATAATGTTTTCTTGATAAATTATTTGTATTATATCTAAATAAGAAGTAAGATGTTAAAAAAACAACGAGCGTACAAATTCTTTTTTAACTTCAATTAAAAGAATTTCAGTCTATACAAAGATTAAGAATACAAAAATCCAATCATTTTTATGTTCACAGAATAAATATAAGAATGGAAATTCTTGTATCAAAGGCTTTTTTCCCGAAAAATTCTATACCCTATAATTTTTCCTGTTAGGTATCTTTCAGATTATTTTTTTGATCTAACACCTTTGTAATAAGGCGTCTCCTCTGCAGTACGTTTTACACTAATATGACACTACGTGGGGTAAGGCGCGCCCCTGCAGCGCGCTTTACGCTGACATAGACACACGTGTCTAAAGCGACCCCTAGGGCGCGCCTTACGTCACGTAGGGCTATAGTGCGAGTCAGGGGTCGCGCTTATCAATTATCACGTGCTCAATTATTAAACATGCATAATGCAAGGCGCGGTCCCTTCACCGCTCCTTGCATTATTTACCCGGACATCTCGGCTTTAAAGCATCCTCTCTCGGCTATAAATAGTCATCTCCCTGTAAACTCTCTCACAATTCTCTCTCCACCGATAAATTAATACAACAATCATTTCAACCAGTAAATAACACCCGACAGTCCTCTTATATTTAATTTAGAAGTTCGTTCGATCTTTCATTATAAGATAATTTTGTTATAATATTTTTTTATTATACTTATTGTTTATTATGATTATTTGAAAAAATATTATAGTAATTGTTTTCAATTAATTTCTGTGTCAGTTCAAGGGGAAAACAGGAGCATACGTCGAAATATTTTTGCGGTGCAGGTAATAATATAAAATTATATTATTTAAATTATTTACGTTTATGTGTAAAAATTTTATTGTATTATATTTTCGTTCATATATTATTTATTTAATCAGTTTGTTTCAGTTTTTTTTTTTGCAAATATAATATTATCGCACTTTTAAACTCTAAGAATGACGCGACTTTTAGCTATTGTTTATTATGATGGAGAAATTCGAGAAGATGAAATCAACGTTGTTTTTTTTATCAAATGAGCGTGTTAAAATATCATTCAAGAGAAACATAACTCTTGAGGAGCTGATAACAAAGATTTCGAGGAAGGTTCATATTGGAAGTAGTAGAAGAATGTCGTCGTTGCAGTACATATTTTCAATATCATTGTTGTCATTAACTTATAAAACGTTCGAACTATCGAACAATGATGATGTTGAAATGATGGTTGATTCTCAAAGTAATTATTTAGACGCTGATATTGAGATGTATGAAAGTTTGTTCAAGTGTGTGCTGTTCGGGGTCAGTCATTAAGCTCCCACTATGGGCTGGCTGAACAAGTTGATCAAGTTGACAACCCGACTACAGTAATGTGTAATGATTTTGACACCATAATGGGAAATCCGCATCATGGTACCGTCATATCAACTTCAATGGGGAGACATTCATCCGCAACTCCTTACGATATGTACCGAGGTGGGTTCACGAACAAACATCGCGTCCAGTTCAAGGGTAAGACATTCATCTGCAAATTTCTTTGACCTTAATATGGAGATGCCATCAACGCAACAATATGTGCAGTTTCCATTTGACATGATGACTTCAAGCTCCAGGGGAGGCATTCCACTGCGAGCTTTTTCGATCTCAATGTCGATATGCCTTCTAGTTCAAGGGGAAGACGTGCAAGTAGTAGGTTCTTCGACCTAAATGTGGAGAGTATGGAGGAACCATCATCTCCACCAGAGGAACCGCTTCGTGAGACTGGTGCGGATGGTGTTGAGACTGGACTATTTATTCACCCAGAATCACCGCAATTCAACTCCGATGATGATGATAATGTAGATGAAGTTCCATTAAATGTGGCACAAATTGACTCTCTAGCACACATGTATGAAGCTGATTATGCCTTATCTCGGTAACTATGGATATTACTCATCAATAAATAATAGTGAGTTATCTTTAGGCATGGAGTTTTCAAGCAAAGAAGAAGCGATGATGGCTATACAAAATTACAATATCCGTAATTATGTTCAATCGAGAGTTGACCGCTCCACGACAGAAAAATATGTATACTACTGTGCCCGACGAAAAACGAATGCACTTGGATGGTTCACGTATCAAATAGGAAGAGGAAAAACAACATATGAGAACCAACATTATACAACGGTCCTCACACATGTTGTGCTGGATGGGTCAACCAAGATCATCTCAACTTAGACTCTGAAGTGATATGCCAAGCCATCATGCCCATAGTAAAAACAAGTTCTCATATAGCTGTTGCTGTGTTGATTTCAGCTATACAATTGCAGTATAAGTACATTGTCTCCTATAAAAAAGCTTGGTTGGCAAAACAAAATGCCATTGTCAAACTTCATGGTGAATGGATGTATCTTACAACGAACTTCCAGACTTGTTTAGGCTAGTGCGGAGGTTGAATCCTGGGACAATTGTGGACTTCGAAACCTCCTATGCATACGATTATGATTGAGTTCTTCGTGATCGATTCCAATTTACCGGGTTTTTTGGACTTACCCACAGTGCATTAATGCTGTCAAATATTGCAAGTCTATGGTCCAGATCGACAAGACTTTCTTGTATGGAAAGTACAAGCAAGTTTTATTATTGGCAGTTGCTTTTGCTCTTGTTGAAGGAGACGATACAGATTATTGAGCTTTTTTCCTCCTAAACTTACGTGCACATGTTATCACGAGGGAAAAAAACTGTGTCATTTCAGATCGCGGAGCTGGGATCAAAGCAGAAATGAGTCTTTGGGTCCAATGTGGCAACCACCCTTTGTCCAACATAGGTATTGTCTCCGACACATTACTGCGAACTACCATGGAAGGTACAAGAAGAATGATGAGTGTCAATTAATTGTGTGCATGGGTAAGTGAAACTGATGTAGTTTGTTTTCTTTCGATCATTTTAATTATGCAATGAAATCAAGTTAGTAAGTTATACATTTTTTGATCAGGTTACAAACTACTTCGTCAAACGTTTGAATCGATGTTTCAAGATTTGTGGGCAAAAAATGAGGAATGATACGATTAAATCAGCCTCATCGATAAAGAAATGTGGACGAACGCATATGATGGTGGATATGGATATGGACACATGACGACCAACTTGGCTAAGGCAATCAATTCAACCTTAAAGGATGCACGTCACTTACATGTAGCGGCTTTAGTAAAAACTACATATTTTTGTTTGGGGGTGCTTTTTGCGAAGCTCGGGGGACAAGCTCAAACCTGGATGCAAGGCAGTCATGTCTATCACCCTAGATTAGTTGCAGATCTACAAAAAAAATTGTTGCATCAAATGGAATGTATGTATCAAGCTTCTCAAAAGACATGAAATGTTTCGTGTCACAGAGTTGTCGCGACCTCTTCAAGGGATTGAAGTTGTGTCGTTAAGAGTAATCTACGGGACAGAACGTGCGACTGCGGGTTTTTCAAGCTCTGAAGTGTCCATGCTCTCATGTGATAGCAGTTTGCTCGCATACACGTCAAGACTATAACTGTTTTGTGGATCTCGTATACCTACTATCTGAAAATTTTAAGGTATACAAATTTGAGTTCCCCTTATAGGTAATGACAAAGGCCCTGATGAGGTTCACATTTGGCTTCCGATTGTACCAAATCCAACTTTATTGAGATAGTGTGGTCATCCAAAATCCAATCAAATTCATTGTGATATGGATATTCGAGAAATATCTAGAGAAGACAGAATATGTGGGTATTGTAGAAACCCAGGACACACTAGAAAAACATGTCCACTTCTACTGTCATCAAGTAACAATTGATGAGGAACTGATGTAGTTGTTTATCAAATAAGAATTCTTGTACTTTAATTTGCATTTACTTCAAGTTAATGTCATTCGATCTTACAACAAGTGACAAACTGAAGAAAGTTATCGAACACAATTATTAAATTTTATCAAAACAATAACAATTTGGTATTTGAATATAATTTTAAATACAACAAACTTACAATAAGTATTAAATGGTAAATAATAAATAAATTACAATAACTGATATTAAATGGTAATAAACAAAATTAACCAAAATACATTAACAAAAAGTCCAACAAATTTAACAAAATAAATTAAAATAAATCCAACAAAATTAATGAAATAAAATAAGTATTAAATGATAAATAATAAAAAAAATACAATAAAAAGTCAAATAAATAACTAAATACAAATATAATAAAAAAATATATTGATGCATGCGACGCGAATGTGTTCCGTAAGGATGTGGCTGTCAGTCTCGAGAAAGATTTCTTCGTATCAGTGGTTGTGAATCCTCGCTGTCATCATCATCGCCATCATCATCGTCGTCGTGAGCAGCTACATTAGGTTGATGAGGAGCTGATGACGATGAATCACCTCCATAGAATAAGGACCCTGAAGGAGTATGATTGACTATCCCACCGGCCTGCGAAAACTGGGAAAACTCATAAAACCCATACATCACTGAGTATGAAAACTGTATAGGAGGTGTCTGTGCTGCGGCCATGGGTGATGAGGTTGAACCCGCCAAAATGTGGGTATATGAACCCCAAGTTGGATATACAAACATAGACTCATAATATCCTCCAAGAGGGGTCATAAAACTCTGTGACGGTGGCGGCGGCGGCATCATGTAAGGGAACGGCGGTAGCAACATCACATATGGCTGTGGTATGTAAGTCGGTGTAGACTGTGGTTGTTGTGAAGGTCCTACTGGTGCAGCTGAGGATGAACCGGAAGCACCTGCTCTCCGTCCACGAGTCGGGGGACGATGGTGCTGTGTCGGTGAATGTCTCTATCGACGTCGCTGAAAGGTCTACCATCGTGCATCCTTGGAAAGCAGAAACGATTTCCCGTTACTGTTGAACCACTCATAATAACAGTCAGCAACCATCAAGAGGTCAGTAAAAATGGGCTCTCTACGGGGAAAGCGCCGATGTCGATCCTCCCATAGCACGACCCACTCATGATGCCTCACCAGCCAATCTGTATCGGTTTTGTCGTGTCTATTTGTGCTATGCAACTCGTCCATATTGCGATGTGCTTCCGGAATTGGTTGAAAACAACCAAATTGTCGGAGCACGCGATCAGTGGGGTGCCACTCGACGATCGCATAACAGATCAAATGGACCATCGCCATCCAAACATCTAATGGGCCCCTCAACTCAGGTGGGATCACCATCCTCACATCATCATTAGAATATGACTCTCATTCAAACTAAATCAAATATATATAATTTTTATCAAAATAATAATCTAATTATACAACTATAATCTAAAATCGATTTTTAAACATTAAAATGCATACATGTGTGTCAACATTCTGATCGATTAACACCCTAATTTTTTCTAAATCATCATGTAGCTCCTGATGATTTTTCCTATCAATAGACCACATATTCAAGGAAAACAAAATTTATTATACACTGTATAAAATGATTAATATACGAAATCAATTTTATAATTACCTCAATAGTAGGGGAAATACGAATGAGTTATTGACAATGGGATATAAAAAGGGCAATCGATACCATGCCCAAGACTGCAACAGCATGAGACATCCGCCGATAGCATTTTTCCTGTAGTCAGTGGCTCGACACATCTTCCTGTACAGGAAAGTCAAAACTGCCGAGCCCCAACTGTGTGATCCGGCCAGACGAAAGTCGTCAAGATGTCGGAACCACATACAATGAACTTGGTTGCACGATTTGTCCGGCATCAGCAACCCTCCTATCAGTTGTAGTATGCATGCCCGTGCATACATTTTAACTTCATCATCAGAGGCGTCCTCGCTCAACTCTCGAAAATTGGCATCTAACCAATTTAACGGTATCCGACCACCGTTAAAACTTTTCGGGATACGTCCTAGATAGTCCCGACACAAAGCAGTCCATGAACCGTGCGCCATCCCCGATATCACATCTCCATTCACCGGAAGCCCCAGGTGCATAAAAACATCCTCAAGTGTAATTGTGCACTCTCCGCACGGAAGATGAAATGTGTGGGTCTCCGGCCTCCACCGCTCCACTAAGGCATAAATAAGATCTGGTTCTATCTTACAGTGACCCTCATATATACCTATATGACCGAATCCAACCTCTACTAAATACGACAAGACACTGCTAGGTATCACTAACTTAAGATTCCTAATCAAATGATCTAATACACGGTCCCTCTAATAAAATTAAATAATTACAAAAATTAATTTTTAAACTAATAATCATGCATCATGCATTATGCATTAAATAAATAAATAAATAAATTATTACTAATAATTTAAATTATATTAAAACGTTAAAATGTTACCGTATCAGCAAGATGTCGCGATATATGATTTTCATCTAAGCGAAGTAGATCTCCTTCCATTTTATATCTGAAAAAAATTAATTAAATAAAATATTAAAAAAAATTAAATACTTAAATAAATCAAAAACAAAATATTAAATATAATAAAATATACCTTAAACAGTTAAAATATAATATAAGAGTATTTGAGAGAAGTTGAGAGGATTTGGTGTAATGAAAGTGATTGAGAATGAGGTATTTATAGGGAGGAGTTAGGTATGACCGGCCGGGGTAAGGTGATAATTAAACCTAAGGCGCGCCACAGAGGGCGCGACTTTCTGACGCGTGTCAGCATTAAAGGTAAAGCATGGCCCCTGCCCCGCGCTATACCCCACGTAACGCCAGATCAACGTAACGCGCGTTGCAGGGGGCGGGCCTTACTGCAAAGGGTGTTAGATCGAAAAAAATAATCTAAAAATATTTTATAGAGAATATTATAGGGTATAAGTGATATTTCGGGAAAAACGCTTGTATCAAATACAACATGTAATATTAAATAAATTAATTGAATAATTCCATAAGAACAGTGAGTGTACCTGTGAATGTGGTGTCACCGCTGAAAACGTTGATCCATCAGCCACGGGAAGCTCTGATGTGGGGCTTCCATACGCAATCTGATTCGTCCTGTCTGATCTTGACCGTCCACCTTAACCAATCAACACGCGTCCCTCTAACGGTCATCGCCGTCTCAAAAACTTATCCAGACCCAGTCCGAAATTGAACAAGAGAGAAAAAGAAAAAGGAGAATCTCGTCATTTCGAGCATTTCACAAATCTCCAACTCCAGCTGGACAATTGCATTTTTCTATTTCCATTTTTGTTTTGTTCGTTTCCATTTATTTAATAAAGGGTTTTTCTTTTGATCAGAGAAAGAAGATAGTAAAAAATAAAAAAAGAGAAAAGAAATGTGGTAGTGAGGAGATCGGAAATCTCTTTGTCTCCATTTTCTTTTTTATTTTATTCCTTTTGATTCTTCATTCTCTTCCAATTTTTAAATTTTAATGAAATCCTCGTTTTTCCGGCGAGTTTAGCGCTGCCGGAGTTTTGAATCATTTCAAAAAAATCTCAAAAAAGGAGAAAGGGAAATGTCACTGTACGACGACGCATTTGTTAACACGGAGCTGTCAAAGCGGACGTCGATTTTCGGGTTAAGATTATGGGTGGTGATCGGTATTCTACTTGGTTCACTCATAGTATTGACTCTCTTTCTTCTCTCACTTTGCCTCACTACGCGCCGCAAACCTCGCAGACATCAACACCTGGACCCAACGCCGCCAATCTCCAAAGACATCCGGGAAATAGTCCACCACCCGTCCGCACCAGATCAACACCATATCCCTCCGCCGGTGCCGGAGATTCAAGTTGATTTGGGGAAAGTCGAACACAGGGTGGTGTTCTCCAGTGGGGAAAGTAGGGGGCCTACGAGCGCGGGCGCTAGCGTTTGCGAGACGGCGTCGTTTGGAAGCGGAAGTGTTGGGCCGGAAGTGTCTCATCTTGGCTGGGGAAGATGGTATACTTTGAGGGAACTGGAATTAGCTACGAATGGATTATGTGAAGAGAATGTGATCGGTGAAGGCGGCTATGGAATTGTTTACAGTGGCGTTTTAACTGATGGAACTAAAGTTGCTGTTAAGAATTTGCTTAATAACAGGTACCCGTGTTTAATTTTTTACTAATTATGCCTCTTTTGGTTATTATTATGCCCATTTCTTGAAATGAATCTTCTTTTGTGGATTATGCATCCTTGATTTTTTTGGTCTTTCACTATAGCAATTAGTTTGAACTTAATTTGATTGCAAAGGAAAAAATAGATGATTTTCCCCTACAATTGAATTGAAGAATTAAAGAGACAGTGAACAGTTAGCTGCCTCATTATTCATTTCCTTTTTAGTTTAAAATCCTTTCCTTTGGTTGGTTAGATATTGCGCTGTAAAGTGTAAAGATTACTGGTTTGTGAGGAAAAAAACTCATTATTAGGCCTGGATGATAATTTTTCTTTTTTCCTTTGGTTAGACTTTGGTCGAATCTTTTTTTGTATTCTTTATTCCCTCTTCAATCATAGGTTTATGTTTGGTTTACCTACCAATTAGCTCATCATAGTAATCAATCTATCAATCAATCCTGCAGGGGTCAAGCCGAGAAAGAATTTAAGGTCGAGGTGGAAGCAATTGGGCGTGTACGACACAAGAATCTTGTACGATTGCTTGGATACTGTGTTGAAGGTGCATACAGGTACTGCAATTATCTTCGAGCACAAAATTCTACTCTGTTTTGGATTATGTAAAGTGAAGCGACTTTTTATCTGGTTTTTCTGTTCAGGATGCTTGTATACGAGTATGTTGACAATGGCAATTTGGAACAGTGGCTTCATGGGGATGTCAGTCCTCTTACGTGGGAGATTCGAATGAATATCATATTGGGAACAGCCAAAGGGTATACATTTGTTAGAATTGTATTCTTTGGTTCATGTACAGTTGTTTATAAATTCTTTATTCACTCGTAATGGTTATCGTCCTGAGTGTTTATTGGTACATTCTTACAGTTTAGCCTACCTTCATGAGGGCCTTGAACCAAAGGTTGTCCATCGGGATGTAAAATCCAGCAACATCCTAATTGACCGCCAGTGGAACTCCAAGGTTTCTGATTTTGGACTTGCTAAACTCTTGGGTTCAGAGATGAGTTATGTGACAACTCGAGTCATGGGAACATTTGGGTTAGTTGGCCTTGCATGATTTGTCTTTTTTTTTAAAAAAATAAGATGAATCTTATAAATGCATGCATGTGCATTAACTGAAATGCTGTGTAGTTAATTATTCTGAAGTATGAAAATCTCTTTTTTTTCTTGTCCCAGTTATGTTGCTCCAGAATATGCTTGTACCGGAATGCTGAATGAGAAGAGTGATGTGTATAGCTTTGGTATACTTATTATGGAGATTATTTCTGGGAGAAGTCCAGTTGACTATAGCCGTCCTCAAGGAGAGGTTAGACTTATTAAACTTCCTTCATTAGTTTAGCCCAAAGTCCTAATGTTGCTAAGTTGAAACCGACTGAATGATTGCAGGTGAATTTGGTCGAGTGGTTAAAAACCATGGTTGGAAACCGAAAATCAGAGGAAGTAGTTGACCCTAAGTTACCTGAGATGCCTTCCTCAAGAGCACTTAAACGTGTACTGTTGGTTGCTCTTCGATGTGTCGACCCTGACGCAACAAAGAGGCCAAAAATGGGGCATGTTATCCACATGCTTGAGGCTGATGATCTGCTATTCCGTGATGTAGGCACCATTTCCTTAATTTAAACATTATTTTCTTTTTGAACTATCTATTCACCTTTATCCTGTTTTTCAGGACCGTCGGATTGCAAGAGATCAGCCTAATTCACATTCTGGTGATCATCAAACGAATCGCAACACTACAAAATTAGCCGATTGTCGATTTGACGGGGCCTCTGCTTCCGATACAAGTGATAGTGGGGCGAACCATCACCAGCCTACCAGGTGGAGATAACGTTAGGTGACAAACAAGCCCCTCTTTTAAAGTATTTATTTATTTATTAATTAATTTTTCTAGTAGTCCCCATGTGTGGGTGTTGTATCTCCAAATAAGAGAACAATAATATGCATATTTTTCTATGTTCGATTTACATTTTCCTCATATATAATATACACTATGCATTTGTATGAACATGGATGAATTCATAAATTCTTATACACAGTAATTGATTGTCTTCATGCTTTTAGCAATGCCTGATTTGCCAACTATCAGCACTATCATTGTTAGTGAACCATTTTATTCCAACAGGTGTATAGATTAAAGGAGTGCATAATGTCTGATAGTGGTGCGAAATGGACCCGGTAACCGGGTAACTATCCTTGTTTGCTAACAATATATCTTTGCCGGCATGTTTGCTTGGATGAAACCCCATCAATGCAAGAATATGGTTTAGGCCTAATAAGGACATTTGGCATGATGGAGTTGAGCTGGTTGTGGTGGACCTGGATGGATCCTTTTGTTTGCTGCCCTCTGGCATTTTAACTTGTATCCGATGTCGAGATATCGGACTGGAACGATCTCTCGGGACTCGGTCTTATCCAAGTATTGTATTCTATTCAACCTATCCTTGTCACCCCGCTGAAACACAACAATTGGCCTGGTTGTCCTCCTTTTGGCATGTTCTCTGCTTTCTTTGTCTGTGCATTATTGCCTAGGTTCTGTTTCCAAAGATTATTATATGAACCGATTGAATTTGTTTCGTACATCTGGTGGAGTGGATGATAAAAACGTTATGCGGGAGACAAGGGGGATAAATTCACAGGCTGCATCCGACCATAACCTTTTAATCTTCTTCCTCTCGGAGGCCACAATTGCCTTGCTGTTTATTTTCCATAGTATCTGATCCTCCGTTGGAGGCCTTGCGGTGAGACCTTATGTGCTCTGATCTCAACTCCCATTTTTCACGCAAAACTCATTGGATGCATTTTTGGCCAAATTTTATTATTAGTCCCTGTTAAATAGAACAAACTGGTTCAGAAGTCCCTCCATTAACAAATCTTATTTAAATTAATCAGTCAATAAATTAAAATGAAATAAACAAGGATTTCGTCTTTTTCACATGCTAGAATTGGCTGCCACATTGCTCAAGTTACGAATCTTCCTCCAAGTTCAATTTCAATGTGATTGTATTGGCAGTGTTTCAATGGGAATAGGGTCCACCACTTGGCTTAACCTTATCTTTGGATTTGGATTGGGTTTAAGGCAATGAATAAGGAAAGTAAAAGCATGGAAAAAATAATATTTCCTTTTTGCATTTTTTCCCATAAGAAATAAACAAGGAAAGGAAAACTGATTTAAAAATATGTGAAATATTTGGCTTACTTTTCAAATTTTATATAAATGTTTTATACAAAATTATAATTAGAGATGTGAAATATTGTTTTGGGGGGGGGGGTTCATCTTATTTTCCTTTGGCTTTCACTCCTAATTAAATAAAGATGGGTGGATTAATTCTTTAATAATTTATTATTTATTTTCCTTCACATTTATTTCTTATTATCCGAATATGGTCTAAGAATATAAAATACACGGAGCTTAAGCTTGGTTTTGAATGTTATTGAAGGCTGGGTTTATGGCTGCGGATATGATTTGGTCATCTTATCATTTAAAGGATTTTAGAAACAATTTATTTAACTAATAATCATGCATCATGCATTAAATAAATAAATAAATTATTACTAATAATTTAAATTATTTTCACATAATAATACTAGTTTATAAAATAATTTCTTATATCATATCGTGAATTAATTGAACGCCAATTGACATTATAAAATAATACAATTTAAAATTTAATTAAAATAATAAATTTTATTATAAATATACTTTTCTATCTATAATTCTATATGTTATTAAAATTTAAATAGTATATACTTTTAAGTTATAACTAAATATGGATGAATGGTGAGTTCCAAAAATTACTTTTTAACTGAATTAAATTATTGTAAAATTGATTTTTTATATTATAATTTTTTAAATAGTATGGAGTGCGTACAATGTAGTATATATTTAGAATTTTCTTAATCAAGTGATGACACATACATATTTTAAAGACGTAACTGCTCACACTCAAAACTTCTAGAAATAACGATTTCTTTTATCAATGAAATCACTTAATGAGGATAAATTATTTATGGATCGGACTCACCACGTCATCCATGGTCTCAATAAATCATATCTATTAATTTTAAAATAACTTCTAAATAGCTGCTCACTCCTTATGTACACGTAGGAAAGATGTGAAGATTTACCTTAAAAATGAGATAAAAATATTATTAGTTGAGAGCACAAATGATATGATGAGTCAGATCTGTCTGATAATTTTTCCTTGATGAGTTTTTATATAAATAGCTCGTAACCCATATATATGAATATTTATCTAATATATTGAAATATTATTTAAATTCAATCTCTTAACAACCTTATCCATAGCTTTAAATATAAAAGGAAGTCGAACATAAACTTTTTGTAATTTAATTTTAATTAGGATGGATGGATTTAGGACCAGTTAATAATGGTACAGTATGTAGCATTTCCACTATTTGAGGAAAAAACTTTAATCACATAGGCTAACAGCATAACTTAGGGTTGCCTAAAGTCCAACTCCAGGCCAGACGCCGAAGGCAGTGATCGACACCACGTCAGGAAAGCAGAAACTTAAAACCCAAAAGTCCGATGCAATAGTACTTCATAACTTAGGAATGTTTTTGAGAGTTAATTGCCCTATACGTCCTCAAATTACTACTTTCATTTTAAATTGCTCCTTAAACTTTTAGACATTCTAAATTCATCCAAAAACTATGACTATCATCTTGTCTTTAAAATTTTGAACATTCTAAATTCATCCCCAAACTATGACCCTTATCATTCTAAATTCATCCCTAAACTACGACCCTTATTCTAAATTAGTCCCTAAACTTTTGAACACTCCAATAACTTCACCCTAAATCATTCAAAAGTTTGGGGATAAAATTAGATACTCAAAAGTTTGGGGATCAATATAGAATGAGGGTCATTGTTTGAGGATGGATTCAAAATGTTAAAAATTTCGGGGACTAATTTAGCACGAGAGTCATATTTAGGGATGAAATTAGAATATTCAAAAGTTTAAGGACTTTTTTAGAATGAGAGCCATAATTTAATAATGTATATTACAATTAACTCTTTTTCTAAATAATTTCATACATATTTTTATTATGTAAAGCTTTCTTTAATAGTAAATTCAAAGATAATGATAGTTTATGATTTTATAATTTTATAAATTTTATATATTTAACGGTGGCTACAACTCATATATTTAGCATGAAAAACAACCACGATAATGCTTTTGGAAAAAACAATTCCCCAAGTGGTCCACCCCACATTTTATTTCCCACGATAGGGTGTTTTGAACAATAATTAATGAAGACGCATTGTAAGTGATACTATACTAAGGGGACGTTTGATTCGCAAAAAAAATATTACTAGAAGAAATAATCTATTTTGGATTCATCACATATACATTTTTGGTTTAAGAGCATTTCCTCCTAATATAACATTCCCTACAATACCATTTTTCTCTTTTTGGCTTTCTGAGAATGTTATTCTTCTTATTTTCTTACTATTAGACAATGCTCTCTCATTTGGATAAGGTTGTCATTAAAATAATATGGCTATTTTAAAAAGATATTTTTATGCATAATTACATTGATATAAATTTATTTATTTTTATTTTTTTATCGTGGTTCTAAATTTGTTTAATACTTATTATAAAATAATATTATGCATATAATAAAAAGTATAAAGTATAAAGTTTTTATTTTATTTTAAATATTTATTATGTATGTGCTTGGTTTAAGTATTATTTTTATATGTATTTTATTTGTTTATTTTTTATGATTAATTTTCGTTAAAGATTTTTCTATATTTTTTTATGTTTTCTATTAATTTTGTCAAACAATTTGATATGATATTTCATTGTACAACTCATACATTAGTATGAACTAAATATAAAGTATAAAAAATTAACATATACTTATACTGATATATATATATATAAATATGTACATCTTTTGATCTTAATACCAATACATAATTATATTAGTGTAAGTATATTTATATATTTTCAATGAAATAAATAATTAAAAATAAAAATTATTTGTGTACAAATTTTATTAAAAATAAAAAATAAAAATAAAAAAATATTTTTAATGAATTTTCATATAAATAATATATTAAATAATATAACATTCTAATAATCTTATTTTCAATGATAAATTTACAGTACGAACCCAATAACCTGTAAATTAACCGGATAATGATTCTAATTTCTCCGGTCTTGGCCACCTTCTTCCTGCAATATTTCCCCGTTTACCAGGCGCTAAACTTGATCGTACAATTGCATAAAAGTATGATTTTCAGAATCGGATCGGTTAGTGAACCGGTCATACTATCGGTTCATTGGTTTAATCGGTCAAATCAGTCTGATCGGTCGGAAGAACCGGACGATGTCATAATTATTTAAAAAATTAAATAAAAATACTAAAAATATTTAATAAAAAATAATTTTTTATATCACAAGTAATATTCAAAGCAAGTCATAACATATATAAGTTAAAAACCATAAAATCAAGTGAAACAAAATGATTCAAATTAACTACAACATAATATTTAAGGTAAAACATATTAAATAATAAATATAATTATATAACTATAATTTAAAAATAAATTTGGGGTTAAAAAAATCATAACAAAATGATATTGTTTGATTTATTTTTTTTAAAACAATCTTACATGGCTAAGAAACATAGAATAGCATCCCAAAAATCTAAAGAGTAAAAATATGAGAACAAAATAATCTCACATTGCTAAGAAACATAGAAGCGCATCACAACTAACTTATACAAATAATAGAGGTAATTTGACATTCAAAATCATAGAGTCTTTTGGTGAGCATTGAGTAAACTATTCTTTCACTTCAATCAAGCTCGAATTTTAGGCTTCAATCGAGCTTCTAATTTTTTTTTGAGTTCAAGCCTTTTTGAGTTCAAGTTTTAATATTATATTTCGAGTTTG